ATATATATATATATATATATATATATATATATATATATATATATATATATTAAAATTTCAGCATTTTTAAGAATTTAAAATTGTATATAAAATCCCGTTCAATAATTCCCTCTGAGCAATACAAGATATCGTGGATTATTATATTGGATTAAATCAGAATGGGATTAAACCGTATAGATTATCACTAAACGAAATTAATGAACATATTATAGTGTTTTGCAGCTTTGTGGTATATGCTTGCCTACACTGGTATTGCAAGCGCATGCGCAGTTGCTTGGCGTGTGGAAATTTATATCTTTCTAATTCCCTGAACTAATTATCAGCGGATGGATTTCCGCATCCACACTCGAAGTGATAAGTGTCGTGCTCTCCCAACTGTAATCGATATCTTGTTTGTTCAAATTTTGAAGCTGAAACAAATCCTCGTTCCACTATCCTGCTTTTTCTATGCGGTACAGAGGAAATCTGAAATACGTGAATTGTTTAGCTTGTATTTATTTTAGATATGTTTTGAACAAAAACTCAAAATTTCCATTTGGCATATTTATTGCTGATATGTAAATATATTCGTAATGTTTTCAAAGATGATTGGATTTATTCCGTTTAATTGTCTGACCGAGGGTATATCATTGCAATTGGATTTTCTCCAGGAAAATATGTCTAAAATACGTGGCAGTCCTTAGGGAATAATGGCCGCTGAAGAATCGTTGAGAGAGCCACGTGACTTGTTTATGCTCCACAAGTAGTGTTCGACCCCACTCCCGTCACCGCGTTCACTGTTCCATTGACCTATGTAACCATTAGAACAGTTGATGTAATGAAAGGAGGGAATGAACATTTAAAAAACAAAAAAACAAGTCTCGCTCTTGCCGAAATCTCATCGGCCATCTATACGGTCCAACTGACCATGAACGATGTTTCTGTGGATGTGGATGACGGTTTGCGATATTAAAAGGGACATTTAGAAGAAGTACCTCAGTACCTTTTAATTCCCGAAGTATACTAACGTTGGTAATAATATGTATACAAAATAGGGAAAAAAGAAAATGGACTATACAATTTACTTACGTTTTGCACTATGTGCATTTGTATTACCGACTTACCGACTCAATAAATTATTCATCCGACACTGTTTTGCATATTTGTAAACTATTTATAAACTAACTTTAACGTATGCTACCTGGAAATTTGACTTACTCTTGCTTGATACAAAGATATGAACAATTCAGACATTCCAGTGTTATAAAATGTTATTTTAAACACATGTCATTCTGCTGGTCAGAGTGTGACGGGAATTGTTTACTTTGGTTACTCACTTATAACGTCACAGTTTATACAGCATGAGTCAATAAACAGATTTTAGGAGAATTATTTATATATTTTTCCATGCATAATTAAATACATATGATCGGGATTTGTAAGCGCGTAGTTGGATATCAGTGCCAACGAGTCATTTGCAGGTACAGTTGTCAGGTGACGTTTACACAGATGACGTCATCTATACACAAACATGTGTTCCTGGCAGCGCATCTTTGAATTGTGACAATATTACTAACGTATCCCCGGCGGTGCTTAACATTTGGATATAACTAGCAAGATGTAGGATACTTTCATGTATAATTCACGCAGGTCAACAACGGCGCCGACGAGTCAGACGTGAAAATGACACACAACCGTAAAACCTGAAAATATTTGTTTGTGATTCACTATAAGTTTGTTTCTGTAACTGATTTTCATATTGTGAAATGATTAATACATTTGTTTATCTGCTATTTACACTTTGTGGTATTTACATTATATTTATTAAAATATATATTTAAATTTGACAATTGCGCCTATTATTTGTGTTATTATCGACTATTCACATGAATGACTCACACACCTATATGTACCGGTTGATATTTATTTAAATTCGCCAAATTAATATGCTAATCAAGTCATTAAAATGCAAAGTTTGAACAGAACAATATCAGCCCTGGGGATTAGTCAAAAACACTTATACCACACACTCACAAAACCACTGTGAAAGGAGTCTAAGCAAATATCTGTTTATAATTTATATTTGTTTAGAATCCTTTCACGGTGGTTTTGTGAACACATTTTAAGGCCAGATGTCACGTGCATATATTTTTCTGCATTCAATGCTTTCTAAACATCTGTATATATTCGACAACTATTTCGACAACATTTGAAATCATTCTATTTTGTTTGATTGCTAACGATATGTTTGTGTCATTTTAATATAACGCTTAAGTGTGTTTAAACTCTATGCGTATTCTGATTCGGACAACAACATGATATCCTCCTGTATACATACAACGGCGATATTCGCCTGCTGTCAAACAATTAATATAGCCCAAATGGCACAATGAATTCACGGCCGATTCTATTAACCGCGAGAAGTATTATCTGAAATTAGATCAGATTGTGCTTGCAGATAGAGATCGAATTTCCCCGTACGTCAATTATTCCCTCCGCTTTACTAACACGATCAATTCAGCACTATGTAGCACACGTACTGCAGCGGAAAACTATCGATGAATAACTAACAATATTTACAGATTGTATGAATGTTTTGTGAATCGGTACATGGAATGTTTTTTTTTTATTGTTGCCAATATAAATGAATCAGGAAGGCAACATATATTAATCTTTGTAGTAATAATTATATTCGAAGTTAGGATAATAATATTTTTTTAATTTATATGACGTCATGAATTGCCGGAGTGTGTATACTTTCTTAGTAGAGATGTAGTGAATTGTTCAATTCCAATGTAACAACGAACACGTTGACCCCATCCGTATTTAGTAGATCAAATATGTCACCTTGTTTTATATTTTGTACGTACCAAAAATAAATGGAAATATATCAGATAAAAAAAAACTCAGAGTCGATTATACAATTTCATACAGTAAACCTCCTTACCCCCCCCCTATTTGTTGATTAAGCGTAGAAAGTAATGATAACTAATTGTATTTTATGTTGCACGTGACTGGTAGCGGTATGCGTAATGCAAGAGACTTACATGCAATACAATGGATGTAACGACACTACATAAAGCACACTTCAAACTGTCTGATTTGAACAGATCAATTCGATTCACATGCAATCAACGCTTATTGTGCCTTCTACGCGTTCTTAGTCATTCTTGAATATATCATTAGATAAGTTTTGTCTTTTCCATTCTACTCTATAAACTTCAGTTATGATTTGGAACAATAGTTGATGTCATAATTTCACCCCCATTTTCGAGGTCTTCAGCAGTGTTATCATTAGTCGCCATTATTATTTTTGTACAGTGGTATATACATCCTTCAAATTGTATACTAGACTCACAACATTTTGTCACGTTTACTATATTGTCGGCAAATGCTGAGAGCTGTTAAAGATAAAAGTGACGTCTTTAGAATCCGTCCTCATGGTAGCGCACGTTTGGGTACTACCCAGTTATCGTATTACGGTGTTTTCAAACAACATCTCCCATAGTAGTCACCTCAGTGGTGCTGTCAACCCGGCGACTAGACTCCCAGCTTTGCCTTCTATTTACTGCTGTTTGCTCCCGGATGACAAAACCCCCATTTATGTGGAACGCCAAGCACCCCGCGCAATATGCGCACGCGCTGCTCTGCATGGCGACACACAGACAATATACAGTTGGCGCGTCTTAAACATTCCCTGAAAAACTACATTGGGAAAATATAGGAGTGTGCCTCGAGATTTTTACCTCTTTCTAGACAGCCGACATGCAAAATTCTGTTGAAATCGTCGGTTAATTAGATTAAATATCTTTGATTTAACAAATGAAAACGTTGAAAACGGATGAGATGTCAACTGAAATTGACAACAAGGCTGTGTCAAAGGAAAGCTAGGTTAGCAGGACATGTCCTTAGAGGATCTAATGGAGGGCTCGCTAGTCTCGTAATTGAAGGTACTATAGAGGGAAGTCGAAAACGATCTAGAAGAACTTGGGGAAAGGACAT